ATTAATTAAATAAGGTAAAAACCCACACTCAGTAGAAAAAAATAAATTACTCCACTGTACTTACCAAATAATTAGGTGATCTTCAGACTATTCAGTCTTAATTATCGCGAAGTGACAACAGGCATCCATAAACATGGACCCGAACACGAGGTGTGTTACCATTTACCTCACTTAAGCGAATCTTCTCCCAAGATGCAACACTGGAACACATTGCCTGAACGATAATACAATGTAGGGGAAAAGCAGGGTCCAGGTACGTAGTAAAAATATTGATAATCTTTATTGCAATCATTTTCAAATCAAGATATCAAACAAAAAATAAAGGTAACATTCTGACAAACCAACATAATAGAACTTTATTGACATTAATTTAACAACATAAAAACAACTTTGTATTAGATGCATGTAATCTTAATCAGAATCTGCACATTTTGGGGTCTAAAATAGCTGCCAAACGGTCAAAAATGATCTAATCACAAAACAAATTCATGTGCATATGTATACCTTCATGACATGTATGTGTACCAAATTTGAAAAGAATCCATCAAAGCATGTCTGAAATATGACCACACAAATATGGCCGCACACGCACGCACGCACACACACAAACACACGCACGCACGCACGCACGCACACAACCAAAAACACTACTTCCCGTTTCGGACTACCGTCCAAACGGGAACTAATTATATCGCCAACCACCACGACACTCCACACAAAACATTAACACCATCATGCACATTAAGTATCAAAATGATAACTATTGAATTTCTTTAGTTATGACTTTGTGTAGACGTAGAAGACTACAATATCCCCTGCCAGCACTATGTGGCGGAGGATAAGTGTTGTGTATCGAATGGAAGCAACAGTAACATTTTAGTCTTGACTTACTTTCTGCTATTTCTGTCCTTTTTTGATTTCTGTGCTGGAGCTTCTGTCTGTTTCTCTTTCACTTTATTAACACAGTCCAACAATAAGTCAATAACCAGGTCTGTCTGCATTACATTTTCCACTCGAGGAAAACATGCCAAAAACACACGATCCAGTTTATTCCCTGAAATTGACTTCAAAATTAGAAAGGCGTCAGTATTACAATGTATAAACAGTCAAAGAGTACTTATATGTGCTCTCAGTCTCAAATGGATAATTATTACTAAAAGTGGATAGAATCATTAATTTCAATTTATGCATTAATTCTATAATCAACTCACTGTGCCAAAACACTGACGGCACACAATCCAGCTAAACAACCTTTGCGGCCAACACTGAAGAAGAACGAAATAATACAATTGTTTTGTGTTCCTACTAAATTATGAAAGGTAGATGGTCAAACATAATAAACATAATTTCCTTTGTTTTGATGTTTACTTTTTGAGTAGATGACGTCCATTCATATGAAAGTACACTTTAGAAAAAAACTCAACATAACAAGGTTGTACGACTGCAATAGGTTGAATAATAATTACTTTTCTTTTGCAAGTTTTAATTTAACTTATTTTATCATGTTCAATATGATCATTGTCTTTGTATTTTCCCTAGATATAGAAAACTGAAACCGTACATGCACGAGGAAGCAGAATGAATAATTGCATTACATTGATCTAATGAACACATTGAGTATATTTACCAGTGTTGTCGCTGATGTTGTTAATTTGTTTTCAGATGAATCAGAAGCATTAGGAGTTTGATTTGAATCCTCAAAGTGACCAAACTCATCAGTGGTGGAAGTCACATCATGTTCAACTGTTGGTGCTGTAGAAACGCTAAAATCACCAAAGTCGTCATCATTTACAGAAAAGTCTTTCAAAGTTGACGGATGAACAGCGGAAGAACTAAAATCCCCGAAATCATCTTTATCAACTTTAACACTGTCAAAATCACCAAACTCATCAGAATCATTCGGTCCTGTGTTTTTGACATCACTGAAATTACCAAAATCGTCATCACCTCCATCGTCATGTGGGCAAGAAAATGATGCAAACTGGTGGTCATCTACTGGTTTAGCATCGCCAAAATCACCAAAATCATCAGAATCATTTGACCCAGACTCATCTATTTTACTCTTTACCAAGTCCTCAGATTCTGCACCAGTTGATGATGCAGAGTGGGAAACTGATGGCTTTGCCTCACCAAAATCTGCACTCCAGTCATCAGATTTGAAAGTAGGAAATTCCGGTGTGTGTTCTGAAAATGCTTGAAATCCTTCATCATCACCATGCTTTTCAGTATCACCTATCACATCAACTCCATTTTCAAGCTCATTATTATTGTTTGTATTGACAGTGGAATCACTAAATGCTCCAAATTCATCGCTTTCCACCGGCGCAGAGGTGCAACTCCCATCAGTGTGCGATGTTATTTCACCAAATGCTCCAAAGTCTCCTTCATCATCACTTTGATTTTTGAAAGTACTAAAATTATTATCAACAGTATCTAATGCTGGAGCGCTATCAGTTCTAAGATCTAGATCATCCTGTGAAGACGACTTTGAATCTGCAAATTCTGTGGCCTCTGAAAAATGCCCAAATTTATCACCTTCTCCAGGTTTATGTTCACTGACGTTATCATCAACAGTGTCTTTGAATGCTGGCTGGCAATTCTCATTACCAGCTGTAAATGAAATTTCTCCCAATTCAGAGTCTGCTAACTGTAACACATTGGTTTTAGGTTTCTCCGAGCTGCAATCCTGAATTTCAGCTTGTTCAAAATTACCTTCTCCTGAGTTGAAATCTTCCTGTGTCCTATCCTCCATGCTATCAGTAGTCCTGAAATCTCCAAAATCATCATTTTTTTCTGCATCATTTTCATCTGACTGTGGCGTTTTCTTATTTTCGGGTATAACAGTACTAGGAATCTGACAATCAGAAGGACTTTGTAGAGACAGTGTATCAGGACTAGAGAATGAATAATAGTTACTATCAGAGTTTAGGGTCTTTCTGTCAGAACTTAACTGGCTGGCTGACCTGGGTTCTTTTTCAATAGAGTCATTACTGTCTATGCTATCTCGCTTATTTTCGGGACCAACACGAAGTGGCTCAGATCTGACAACATCGTCAGCTACCCCACCACCATTTGAATAATCTATGAATCCTTGTTCTTCGCCGCTAAAGTTGTCAGAATGGTCATTAGTGACGGGAGGTGGAGAAGTATAATACCCTATATCATTGTCAAGTATTGGTTTAAAATGATTGTCACCCTGAGGGGATATGTCTTCATCTAAACCGGCTTTGATGAAACCACCAAAGTCATCGTCGTCATCAGTGTCGCAATCAAATGCTGGTCCATCGTCCAATGGTGGTGGTGAGGAAGATAACATAGGCGGGATGAAATTAGTATCTGAAGCCATGTTGGAAAACTGAAAAAAGAGATATAATATTAGTAAGGCACGATGAAGCAATTATCAGTATTATGAGAAAAGGAAAGACAAAATACAAATGAACACATGTCAGTGACAAACTTATTTTCATATACAAGTACAAAACTACATGTGTAATAACAGCAACGCACACTGCTGTACACTCTGGTTATTGAGTGATTAATGTTCAGTGGGATGGTATTCCAAGTATGCTATATGAACAAGCTGAACATATACACCAAACACAGTGACAATGGTATATAGCTAGTAGTTATGCTACAATTGGCCATATGTCATCTGAGATTAGACTCTCACAAAAGCTGCACATATTTGTGTATTCATATTATAATACATATCATTGCCACGCATCAATACAAGTGTACATCAAATATCTGCCGATCTCTCAACTGCGTTTTATCAACATATTTTGATTGTAATTGTACAAATATAAAGACATACACTAATGTATGGTTAACGTCACAATATACATGCCAAGTCTAGATAACAAAAATTACTCGCTAATAAAATTGTCAGAAAGATTATATTGAGAAGATATCAATAGAAACGTAATATAGTTCTGTATATATTTAAAACTATCGGTGGTAAAAAATACAAATTTGTATTCACTATGCCTCATTAGTCAACAATTTTGTAAAATTGTTTTCACTGTGCCATGTGATAACAAAAATTATCACCTGATACAACTTATACACAGAGCAGCTCATGACATCGTGGGCTGTATAATCCACTGACATTCAGTTGATTGACAATACAAAGACATTACTTATATCAACCAGTCTTATAAACAAGCAATACAAGGTGATAACTTCATAATTGTGGATATTACCGGTAGACATTAGAAATAGCTTGTGTTATAATTAGTTTCGAGTTGAACCAAAACTAATCCAGCTAATATCATAACAAACATGCTAAATCCATGCAAATAAAGTTAATTGACATGCACAAATAGGATTTGTTTAATTGTGGGCAATACAGAAAGTAGTGAAACTTCGTAGTAGAGAACAATTAAGATCTTCCCAACATTATTATCACATTATTATGAAATTGCGAAGATAGATAGCAGGGAAAATAACATGGGTTTACAGCATTTTCTGAAGGTGTGCATCACAGTTGGTAACCAATATTGCAATGATATGTAAATAAATTACTAATAATTTATGTCAGTGAGATGACCACCAAGTTCACACATTTTGAATACTTTCAACAACATATTGTTGATACAGTGCCTGCATGGACATACAGAGAAAAACAATACTTTCATCAATTGTTTGTTAATAGGAGCAAATAACTACATGTTTGTATAATAGTATTATCTCTGTGCGTGAGAACACTGCAGTCATAAATAGAAATGTACACAATGAGTCTTAAATAGAAACCCAGCAAATGTCAGAAGAAAATGCATAGCACAATAGAGTATATAAATAAAAATAAATTTATAAATCATTAAGTCCTGTACTTCAAGAAAAACAAAATGAATCCATTTTTCAAACCAGTTTGGTTAAGTTTCAGGATCATTCAAATCGGAAGCAGATTCAAACACACCAGCTGTGTACCCACATGGTTTTAGCATTGACAGTTAAGGTTAAAGTGTAGTCATTGACTTTCAAAACTGAATGAATCTGTTCTGTTATGCAAATTGAAAACTATTTCAGCTATTGTGGTGATGATATCATGTTCAATCATAGACAGTATATAGTTAAAAATTGCCATTTTTTTCATCTGATAAGTTTGACGTATAGATTACAATTTGTATGACAATCATTTGCGTTTGACAGTCTCACAACAAGACTTTTCAACTTGTTTGTACATTATAGCAACAATTTTGTATAATATATTAGCAAATAAAAATTAAACTAGGTTAACCTAAAGACTACCGGGTATCTTCTCTATAGTTTTTGGTTAACCTTATTTATTGTGAACCATGGATACGAAAAATTGCACTCCAATTTGAAATCTGTTTTGGCAGCCCCCAATTGTGTTCAGTTTGGTACCACCTCTGTACTTTAATCCAAATGTATTACCCCCCCCCCCCCCCTGGTATATACATTGTAACTAGATTAGCTTACCAGTCGTGGGGCAACAGACTTTAAATAGAACCGATTTTTATCAAGAAGGTTTGACTTAACAGCAGTAAACTAACAGAAAATATCTAAAATTATTAATTAATGGTATCTTGTATAAAGTAAAATAGTTTTTTGTAATATAATTTAATTATTGTTCACATAAGTGTTTTTTTAGCGCAATGCTTGTATTATGTAAACAAACAAACATGATTTGATTTTACTTCACGAAGTTATTTTTTTAAAATTCTACCCAAGAACATGTTACAAACAGTTATCACTATCGATCGTTAATGCGTGGTTCATGTAAAAAATCCCCCCCCAGCCAAATTAAACAAAATATTATTACAAAAACAGAAGAATAATTATGGGAATAATGTCAGGTTTCCAGATGTGGGCGTGAATATTTCTGTCATTTCTTTTTCGTAACGTAGATTTGGTCACAGCTGTGTCTGTGAACCCTATGTGAATCATTTAATAACTAGTTCTGTACAATGCAAAATATACTGAATATACGCGCTTCAAAGGTAAAAAATAACACAATTTCAGTTTATCTGATCAATTCACCGAATCGATCGTACACTATGATGCGATTATAGCCCATGTAAATGTGATTGGCTGCCACATAGTCTCGTTACATTGAAAATGTTTCTCACCTGTAGTTTAAAATGACCCACGAAGATTCAGGGATATTTGATTCCCGTGACAAAAACGTTGTTATTGAATATCAAAGCGGAGTTTCGATGAATTGAAATAGGAATTAAAAATGCCAGCATATTATCGAAACACTCTTTCGCTCCACGTCCGCCATGAATATTACCCACAGTGCTATTCGACCTGCCGCTCCAAACGCAGAGGGCGACACATTACACCTTCGTGACTGAACCATAACATTGTGAAGTTCGATCAAAATGTGTTACTACATGTATAATAATAAATTTTACTATTTTGATTATGACTACTTCTGTTGAAATATTACAGTACCAAATTTTAATTGAGAAAGTTCAGAGGCGAACTTTTAGAAACTTTGAAAGTGGCAGAAAAAACTATGCAAAATATATTTTTTTTTAATTTAATTTTTTTTATTAACTCTGTGTGTAACATTGTTTCCTTCATAAATAGGCGTGCAGATTTCCCCCACTCTTTAGAAAGAACTTATATGTGCTGAAACATACATGAAGTAGAAACAGAGTACATTTAAAAAGGAAGACTTCAAAGTTTACAATTATTCTTTTGAACAAGAGACCTGATGCCTAATATAGCTCTGGAATTGGAACCAAAGTATTGAAGTTTAGAATACTAACAACAAAATTTTAAATTTAAATAAATTTGATTAGATACATCTATGGTTTAGATTTAAACAAATCTGGTCATATTTGTGGGTTATCCCCAGAGTATTTATGTACAAGTTATATCTTTTCATATCATGGGTTGCCCCTACCAATTTGGGATATTGCTTTATATATTAGAATTACACTTATTAATGTTATCACACGACTATATATGGTCATTCAATGTGTTAGTCACAGGTTTTGTCCGATACCTTTATAGCATTGGTTGCATGTACCTGCCTATGCATATTAATGAGGTCATAAGACCATATGTGCTTATTTAGGGATTCAACATTCACAACCTTGTACAGTGATATGTGATGAAGTTCTCAGCTGAATGTAGTTTTAGTGAATATTGTTCCAGAACACAGTGGTTGGTTAGTAATGTTCAATTCTATGAACAGAAATAAGCAACATTATTGCATAATTGGCGAATAACCACCAACACTTATAACAAAAACTTACTAAATTTAGTTCTTTAGGTATTAGAATTATTCATACTACTGGTAATGAGGTCACAAGACCAAATATGGCATCTGATGTGTTAATTATATCTCTTGTTGGATGTTTTTGTTATACATGCCTACCTGCAATAGTTCTCTTGCAATTATAATATGCATAATAATGCAGTCACATGACCAGCATTCCAATATAAAAGACAAATTTTGAGAGACAATCCCTTATGATAATTGCCGATTCAAGTATGCAGTGAATACTGGGGCCCTCTCCCTTACGTTGCAAAAAATATTGAATAAAAAGGGAAATTAGATAATTCTTGAAAAACAATTTAGATGCAAATTAGGTACATAATATGCAAAGAAAACAACTAATTTGGTCTGCACACTATTCCATAGCATTATGTACATGTACCCAGCTTTAATGAAATCTATTGGATAGTTCTTAAAAAAACAAGCGAAATCTTAGAAAGAACTCCTGTGTCTTGAGAGTATTGGAAGCATGTTTAAAATTAATTCAAAATTTAAGACTAGCCTTTCAAAGAAGCTAGGCAACCAATATTGGTCTGGTATTTGAGATGCTCAAGATGAAAACAATGTGATGCATAGTATTGGAGTTTATAATACTCACAGAAAATAAATTTGATTGTTTTGGTTTTCAATATTAAACTAATTACCCCAAAACAAATTTGTTCAGGTTTTGAAGAGATATGTGGAAAATTGGTTAATTATTATGCAAATTAAGCAGTTGGTACGCATGGATTCAACCCAAAACTAATCATGTGTGTGCATTGTCCCAGGGCATCTATGTATCAAGTTTCATTACAATGATATGATTAATTTTTGGTGAAAAAGCTGAAAATTAAATTATCTGTAGATACATGAAATAATTATTGATCGATTTAAACCCAATACTAACTAGAAATCCAAATAGAATTTATGTTTAAATGCAATAACTAAATAACTAAACTAAGACTGACTTAGGTCATTTTTCCACCCATGGAATTTCCACATCCCTGTACATAGATTGGTCATGTCATAATCCAAGTATATCCTCATACTGTACTGTTTTACTAATATCTTGAGTAAATAAAATAAATACACCACAGAAAAGAGACTGAAAGTTTCAATAAAATTTATTTTACTATTTACATTCAGCTTCATATAGAATTACCTAAATTTTAATTTACACATATCTGTAGTAGTTTGAAAAATAAATCTATGACACACATTAGCGCCCTCTATAGATAAAAATGAAAAAAAACTTAGTAAGGGGTTGACTAATAACATCTTGAGGGGGTGTTGTATAATTGCATACAAATTGTACAGAAAAAAATTCAGCACACTTAAATTTTATAAAAATAAATATTTCACATTTGGGGGGGGGGGGCAAAAATTACACTGAATTCATCATGGGAAAAAAAACACACAACCAAATAAAGAAAAAGTGTTACTGCCAAATAGAGTTTCTAACGGTCCACCTCAAAGTGGTAAAAAACCTATGCAAATTATTTCTTTTGAGCTTCGTTTTTTTCTGTAATTTCAAATTTGAGTCAAAATTTGGTTTTATCTCAGTCAAACCCAACAGCCTTTCCATAGTAGGTGTGAATCAGAAAAAATCAGTAGACAATATATTTAATCAAAATTTTGATATGAATATTGAAATAATTATTTAATTAAATTTCAATGATCAATCAATCACCAGTCTCTGATAATTTCACACAAAATTACAAAATTGAATTTACATTTGAAGACATTTAAATTGAGCATTGGAGTTGTTCTCCAATCATTGTTTTGTTTCTGGTCATGCCAAACTCGGGTTTATTTGGTGATAACATTCGAGAGTAATATTTGGAAGAAAAATAAAATGATCTGGCCATACTTTTAGTTCTGTAAATCAATGTGTCTCTTTGCACATTGTAAATACATGTACTAGTTGTATTCATATGTAGAATGTAATTACAGATAACAGTAGATAACTTGAAAAGATATGCAGGTCACAAGCTTTTTGCCAATAGCCAAACATTACCAAACATTTACATATATTTGTGATTGAGTTTTCAGCATCCTTTGCCATCATGTATTCACTAAATTGCATGACCATATGACAATTCAGAATTCAATGTAAAGTTTTTCCCACATTCTTAATGTGTTCTCTGCACAGCCCTTCAGAATTTATAAAATCCATGACTATTTTACTCATATTGCTCCAATATTTGAGTAAAGTTTGAGCATTAGGTACTTCTGAGGATGGATTCATATACACCCTAAGGAGAATTCAAACAGTAATAAATGACAAAATGTTATGTGTAAAGGACATTGGATTAGTAAACATGGAGAGTCTCTGAAACCATCAATATATTGATGGCCTTAAAATATAGCACACTTGCTCAATTAGCACTTATGTAAATGACAGTTATGTGCTTATAAAATGTCATGTTAAATGAACCAGCACACAATGTATACAAATTTTGTGCTTCCATTAGAGATGTGCGTCTGTAGTGAAGGTATGATGGTTTTTTATAAATTATATTACATATTTTATTAATCTTGAATGATGATTGAAAGCAACTTGATCAAGCAATCAAAACGAAATAACAGATACATAGCAGTAAAACAACCAATGATTGAAAAGAAACTCGCAAAGATTCATGAGTAATTGGGTATTACCAAATGACATCTATATAGGTAAATTAAGCATATTCTTTGGATTTCAAAGAATATGTTTCATAAAAAAACATTCATTCCTTGAAATTCACTGTAATAGAGCAACTAGGGTGAATATATTCCCAAATCAAAGGAGGGCAAGTCAACTGAATGTTATAGATTCCCTCAGAAAATACTCCCTATATCTCATACTCATACAGATCAGACAATTCACAATGAGCCTGTTTATAAATTTATCAGAAATAATATTATAGTTGTGAATTTTAATAAACATACAAGACAGATATCATACATTGAAAATATCTGTCAACAAACAAGCTG